GAATATCTAAAAAAAAATACCAAAATATTTTTGAGCATAATATTAGCTGAATTAAGGAAATAAAAAATGATAAAAGTCTCAAATAACATTTTTCATAATTAATTGAGAGTCTCTTTGATGGAACTCTTTCGATTTATGTAATGATTTCTTATTGAATAAAGGTTGATATTTAAATTTGAATTTTTAATAATTAATAATTGAGATCTTTTGAAATTATTCATATATATCATGACAAATTATTAGGAAACTAATGTTCTCAAGAAACTATGTTCGCTTCAATAGAAGCTATGATCTTGATACTTAATTATTATATTCCCAATTATACCTATCTAATTATATAGAGAGGTTTGATAAAAATTAATTTTGAATGAATAGACTTATATAATTTCTTAATCTATTTATCACATGATTTCATATTTAATATCCTAAAGTTTAAATTGATATTGACTATGTTTTTTCTTTAATACATCTCAAAAAGTTGAGCTTATCATATTTTCGTTGTTGCATTTGATCAGAATGATTATTTATTGTTAATTGAACTATATTTAATTGTTAATTTAGGTATTTTAATTTATGTTCCAAATTTATGCAATTTAAATTCACTTGAATGATGAATGATGATTATTAAAAAAATGAAAAATCTTATTTAAACTATATGTTTCTTTTTATTACAGACTGCATTAGCCTAATTGATGATGCATAAATACAATCAGCTGGAAATCAAAGGAATAGAGTTTGATTGGAGCGCAAGAACCATGCCTATAGGAGATTAATAACTCTTAATTGCTTAGAATATTAGAGGGTATGATTAGTTATTCTAAATCCAATTAATGATTATAGACATTGGGAAAAACGATGTTGTAAAACAAATAACTATAGGAGGAGTTGACGAGAGCAACTATTGCCCGGATATACTCATAATGAATGATTCAATCTTTATTGCATTTGTTAGTGAGAAAGGAAGTATTTTAAATGTGTTGGTGAAGAAGTTTAACTTATTTCTTGAAGATTCTCGTATAGAATTAAATTTAGGAACTACGATTCAAGAAGTAAAAATTATATAAAAAATGCAATTCATTTGTCTGTTTCAGTTAAATAAAAATTTATTAACAGTTTTATGGTATGCATAAGGAAAAGAATATCCTACTAAATAATGGAATATGATATTGTATAATCCAACTACAGGAGTTAAAGGTGAAATATTGATTTTGCCTGATAGTGAATTTGTGTCAGTTACATAAAATAATTTAGGAATTATTGCAATAGCCTAATCCAATAATAACAACATAATATTATCTAAATTATTCGAAGGAAAATTAACCACAAGATCAATCTCTTCAGATATCTATTATTTTCATCAACAGAGAGTAACAATCAGAAGTTTATCCACAAATGAATTTGTTGTTGTTAGATGGACAAATTATATAGACATCATTCTTAGGAGGTTTGATAGAGATTTTGAAGCATCTCAAAGTCCATTTAGAATTTTAGCAAAAGAATTTTGTACAATTGATAGAATTCAATAGATTGATATCAGCCTCACAGATTCTCAATTAATTTTAGTAAATAAATGCTAAGAAGAGATAAAAATATAATAAATTGACTTATTGAATTTTCACTATAATCAATACAATTCAGAATAATATAGATAAATTGATGTTGATAATAAATAAAACTTATATTCCATTTAAATTAATTATATTAATCATAATAGATTATTACTTAGATGGTTTACACAATAATTTAACTATTATACCTTAAGTGTTCAACTAATAGATTTGAACCTAAAAATAAATGAATGCATTTTGAATTGTGATAATTGTGATAACTTATTTAAGTGTCAAGAATGTAATAAAAATTACTAATTGGATACAATTAAAAATCATTGCAATCCAATCTGTCCTGATAATTGTTTATATTGCTCCGATGCTACTTACTGTGATAGATGTAAGTTGGGATATTAGTATACAAAAGAAAATTTATGTGTAAGTCCAACAAATGATTTTAAGGAATTGAAAGTGAGCAGAGAAACAGAGAGTAAAGGCAAAGGGAAAATAATCAATAAAGATCTTTTTATTATTGTTATATATAGTGTTTATTAAAGCGATAAATAATAATATTTGGTCATTAGAAAACTTGACAATCAAGGACAACTATTAAAGAAGGTGGAACTTTAATAAGATCTATAAGCATTGGTTGATTATGATATTGCTGATTCTTTTGATGATGATGTCTTTTTCATATTCATTAAGTGG